TCATCATCGTCGTACTGTGGGCTGGATCTGCAGAACCTAGCTGGAGGAAACAATGCCAGGGGCAAGACCGCCCCCACTCCCACCGGGCCCTGCCTGCCGTTGCGGTCGTTCCTAATCCAAAATGGCCTACAATATTCAGATTGGATCTGAGATTTAAAAAAATTTTATTTTACCCCAGACTTATAGTCTTTTCCTTGGGCTTTGAGAATGATCGTTCTGAAATTCCTGTCGTTGGCGACAGCCGCCACTTTTTTCTCAGAGGATAACTGGGTTTACGGAACGGCTGTAAATGGACAAGAAATTAGTGGAGCCGGTGGAGAAGGACCTCCACCGCCAGAAGACGATGAAGATGAGGATGGGGTTCCGGACTCCGGTGCATCTGGTGACGCTGTTGTGAACACGGCCGGTGAGTCCCTAGTACATTTACCTGTTCTTGTTCCTAGCAAAAACCACGTGCAGAGTTGAACCATGTTCCTTCCTGCGAATCGCTGCAGAAAGAGCCGAATGCTGGGAGCAATTGCACGAGGCCCGAAGCCTTGTTGGTTTCCCTGAATTCACGCCGGCGAATATCCTCAAAATTACTGACAATGACTGGACCAGTGGGCAAAGAGGAAATATCACCACACTGAAGGAGTACCTGGCAAAGGTCTGCAATGCCATGAAAACAGTGAGGCTTCGAACTGAACTCCCCTGTCATCTGCGTTTGTCAGATGATCCGGATTTCGATAGTGCAAGTGGTGCCAAGCATCTGTGGATACCTAGACGCACACGCGCACAGATCACATACAGGCTCTTTCTTTTCCTACCGTAATCTGTGCATTGTGAACAGAACGAAGCGCCTGTAGACTTGACCCCCAAAACCGAAGGCACCTTCGCCTACGCAATTCAAGAAGGGGAAAATGCTGACTGCAAGGCTGCGGTGGACTACTGGAAGGACGCCTTCACCAACTTCAACGGGGAGTTGCCTCCAGCATATGCAGCAGGCACGAAGCCTTACGACAATGCTCAAAATGTTTCCTTCATTTCCCTCTTCAATCCCCAAGCAAGTCCTAAGGTTGACTGTGCATACTTCGTCTGCCCTGCAGCAACACAAAAATCCAAAAGCAGTCAGGACAGCACAGAGACAGACAAGGACGTGAAAGCGCTGATTTGCGTTACGACCCCCAATGCATTGACGGAGAGTCAAAAACCCTTTACGTAAGCCCCTTTTTCAATTGAACATACTGAATGCTTCGGTGTCTCAGGTATTCCCTTCGGGTTTTGTTTATTCCGTCCGCCTCCCGTGCAGTTGTCTGCATGTTGTAGGGGAGTGATTGTGCGTCTCAGGCAAGAGCAGTGGGACCAAATCACAGCTGGCCTCAAATCCAGCAGCGCTA